TTGATGGAAAGGTACACCAATAAAACCACATGTTCAATCAATCTTTACCTCAAATCAATATATTGTTGATATACTGAGATTCATTTGTTTCAATCTTACCCAGATCAATACCATCTTCTGTCTTACTAATTGATATGTTGCTAGCAGTTTCTCTTTACAATATTTCCTTTCTGTGTTTTCAGAAGTATGATGCCCAAGGCCCTGGACGGTCAGATTGTGATGGAGAAAACGCCTCGTTACTTTGTCACCGTGGAAACGCCAGCACGAGTCCATGCCATGTCGAAGGATGTGAAGCTGATCGTGGTTGTCCGTGACCCCGTGACCAGAGCCATATCTGACTACACACAGATAATCTCCAAGACCCCCGACATCCCCGCATTCGAGAGCCTGGCCTTCAAGAACCGCACTAACGGTATTGATCCCGCTGTTTGGAGCATGAACTCCGTACGACATCACATCAAACAGACAAACATGGGGTCTTCCTGGCTATTGACCCTTGAGCTTTTTAGATGTATCACTCTGTTTGTTCCCTCTTAGTCTCTAAAATTCTTAATGTAGGCAAGAACATGCAATACATAACACTGACCGGCAAACAATACCAAGTGCTGGTTTAAAGGCAAGAAGCATGAGACAACTCAGCTTCATTAGACAACAGGCGTTTAACAAAACAGACTCAGGGAATGTGACAAGAATGGTACAAGGTACATACATTCAAGGTTATATTTAGAACACACGAGGTCCAGTGTGGAGGAATCTATTAGCAGAAATAGAATATCATTTTAAAGACAATTTTTTTATCAGCTGAAACAAAAAAACCTGCATATTAACTTAGAGTGAGACCATCATATCTACATGGGAGCCAGCCCTCTTCTACAGAGTCAGTCATTTTGCATCACTATGTGTGTACACTTGTCTGAATTGTGTTGCTCTTAAATTAGTGTTATAACGGTAATGATGGCTGCTCAAAGACGCAAAGATCCAGAAAGACACAACGGCGATACCATGATTTTGCACTTGCTGTGTGTTGTTATGTCTTGGAAAGGGAGAGGTGAGTGAAAGGGTGTTCATTTGATTGAAATCCACAACCTTTTGGCAACATTTAGCAATCTATGATCTATCTGCCACTAAATGCAATTACATTTTCCTTTAAATCAAACAAACAATTACTTCTTGAAATCAGCTAAATCAACCATGCCAGCAGACTTGGATGTGTGGCATTTGTGCTGTGGAGGTGAAGCAATAAAAGTGCAGCAGCAGTGCGAGTTGGATGTGAGCTGCAGGGAGTGAGAGCAGATGGAGCAGCTTCAGAGCTGATGCCCAGGTGAAGAGGATCAAGCTGACCAGCCTCCATGTCAGCCAAGTGCTGCGGAGGTCTGCCAGCACAGAGACCAGAGATGATCTCAGGTCTGAAATTATTAAACCTTATCAAACTAAAATGTAGGCTTATAAATATTTGATATTAAATATACAAATATTTAAATACAAAACTATGGACTAGTGCAATATTCAAATCGATACTGGTAATTGTAAGATATTTTAAAGGCAATATATCTTCACAATATCATTCTGAATTAAGTATTGTAGAGCTGCAGAAAAGTACATGTAAATATTGTTTCAAAAGTGATAATTCCCTCTAAAATCACAATTGCAATATCAGCCAAAATAAACAAAAAATGTTCTGCAAATCGTGCAGCCCATTTCAGGTGAACTAACAATTTTTGTAAAAACATGCCTGAATTCCTTCTCACCAATACGGTATTTTCTGGTTAGGGCTAGCGTCACATAAACCTACATATCAGGATTTTGAACGAGCAATTGGAGCTTTGGGTAAGGAGCAATTGTAAGGTCTTATTGAATTTAAGGATTAGTAATGCTGTAGTTGAAGGTATCTAAAGGACATTTTAGATTTTTTTTAGAATTTTTCAAGAGAAATATACTGTATACCTCGTGTTTCTTCGTTTGTTTTGGCCCTTATTGGAATAAAATGGGGTGTGATCCTAAATTTGACCTTTTGCAAAGTGTATGGAAAATCCCCAAGAAGTAGGGGAAAAGCTGGATATGTAATCCGGCAATCCGGATTTTCGAGGCCAAAACCCTAACCCTGTACTACTGTAGGCAAAAAGCTCATTAGTTAAATACAACATTTAGTAAGGGTTTGAGAGGATGGGGGAAATTATGATTTTGAATAAAGAGCCTTGGTGTCTCTGTCTTGTCTCCAGGTGAGATCGACTCTCTGTGGAGCCCGCTGTGGATCGGTCTGTACGCCCAGCACCTGGAGCGCTGGCTGGCCTGGTTCCCCAGGACCCAGATCCATCTGGTCAGCGGGGAGAGGCTGATCTCTGACCCGGCCGGAGAACTAGGCAAGGTCCAAGACTTTCTGGGTCTCCAGAGGATTGTGACAGACAAGCACTTCTACTTTAACAAAACCAAAGGCTTCCCCTGCCTGAAGAAGCCGGAGGGCAGCAGTAAACCTCACTGCCTGGGGAAGACTAAAGGGAGGATGCACGCCCCCATCGACCGGGAGGTGCTGCAGAGACTCAGGGAGTTCTACAAGCCCCACAACCAGCGCTTCTATCAGATGGCCGGTCAGGACTTTGGATGGCAGTGACCCATGATGCTTTGGAATCAAGAGTTGTGTTGGCTTTGGTTAGAAGGCTGAGCAATTTACGGAAACAGATGGAGTGCAAAAGATTCAGAGAACTAAACCACTTGAACGCTTTGACCTGCAGAGAGACTTCTCAGGGACTTTATTATGAAAGCCCGTTGTCAATGTACTCACCTCTATCAATCAATCCATCATCTTGTCCAAGTGTTTGAAAAACAGCAGCCATTTGTCTATCATAGATGTTCAGATGTGCTTTAGTGGAATTGAACAAAGTTTTTCCTTCGCAACTTTTTGGTTTGTTGAGCAGCATTCACATGATAAACCGTCTCTTCGTTGACGTTGCAGTTGTGTTTCTATGAAGAGAGCGGTGTTGCCTGACCAGGCGGAAGAGCTACTTTTGGTGTTGCGCACCAATCTAACTGCGCTCAAAATTCAGATTATTTGGATTTTGATCCCGTTACTGCTGACCTTTCGACGCGCAACCAATCAGATTACAGCTGAATGAAGCGATGATAGCTAGCAGGGGTTGTAACCATAGAAACAAATCTTAACTTAATTTATTTTCACAGCAATGCTCTGTGCCCAACCTCAGGGTGAGTGGGGAACAAATAGCGTATCATGTCAATGCAGCTTTAGGCTACTTATTTCTATCACAGGTGTTTAAAAAGACGTGTCTGTGCAAAGTTGCTCATGAAACATGGCTGCTGTAGGTTACACCTGTAGAAAGTTGAATAGTGGAATACGCAGTTTAGCATTAGCGTATCTGGTTTGCAGTGCATGAACAAGTTGGTAGTGGCACAATGATGCATTTTCACATTCCTGAATTTCCAACTTTCTTTTTCTCCTTTGTTTCCAGTCTCGTTGGTTAAGAAAAACAGGGCAGTCAATGCATACACTTTAAGAATAATACTCCAAGCATTTTTCCGAAAACGGGGGATGAATCTTTAATGTAGCGAGCAGCAGAGGGGTGAGAGAGAGTCTTCATAGGAGCTGTGACTGAGTGGTTTTTTATTTCTGAATAATGAATGTGATAGATGGATGTATGGGAGCGGGTGTAGATCATTGCTTCCTCGCCTATTGGCACTTTTATGTGCTAGACTTAGAGTAGCATCCAACTGCAAACCCCCCACTGTACCTTGAGTGTAATAAAGGGACCACTGGAGAACAACCACAACAAGAGCAGGTCCAACCACGAGGTCCTCCTGTATCTTCTCACTGTGTGACTGTGAGAAGATACAGGGTTGTCTGTTTTCAGTTTGCATGTATTTGCACTAGTTTGAAAGCATACTGATTAAATTATTTTCAAGCAAAAAAGGATCTACAATTCATTTATTGTGTTGATTTTTTTTTACATTTTCTTATTGTTTGCCATCAAATGCTGTTGTTATAAGGTTTCATTGAGCTTTAATGAGTGGGGTATGGTTAATGCTAAATACGAACAATATTATAGTGTATTTGCTTTGCGAATCTAGAACTGCTTGATTTATTGATAATGACCTACAGACGAGTGGTGGAAGAAGTACTCAGATTGTAAAAGTACTGCGTCCTGCATTACAACATCTTAACGAAAAGAACAAAAGTAGTGGCACAAAGAAATACCTAAAGTACCAAACGTATTATACTTATTAAGCGTAATGGTCCATTTCAGAATCATATATTTGAATTGACTGAATCATGATTATTGATGCATTAATGAGTTCCATCACATCTGCTATCTTAAATATATGTAAAAGTGTGTTTATTAGTTGATCTATATTTTGAATTAGCTAATAATCTGAATCTGTAAAGTAACTAAAGCTGTCCAATAACTGTAGTGGAGTACAAATTACATTATTGGCTTCCAAAATCTTAGTGGGGTACAAATAGTATAAAATGTAGATATTTAAATGACCTAAAAATACCCAAAGATTATATTTAAGTACAGTACTTCAGTAGATGTTCTACTACTCTACACAACTGCTACAAAGTGCCTTGTTGAAAAGATGTGACAAAGTGGGTCCTGTTATATTACCAAGGACATGTATTTAGTTAAGAGTTATACTCTTGATTTGTTTGGCTGATTCTAATATAAAAGAGGTAAATTACAATGAAATAGTTACTTCTGTAACAAAACACATTCTGGTATTCGCAGTCCTGTGTGTGTATACATATATTTTAGATGAAGATAAAAACAAGAAAGGTGTATTTTAATAGGAAAAATGTAAGTCTGCCTTCTTAAAGAGAAAAATAGTTATTGTAATGTCTCGAATAAGAGAACACCGCCATCTGGTGGACAGCAGAGGGAATGCAAGGAAATGTCTAGAAGAAAACACATTCAAAACAAGCTGCTTCTTTATTATGATATTATCTCCTCCTTCACCTTTAAATAATATATTTTCATATAAATGTAGTCATATTAATATTAGGTTGCAAAAAAACAAAAATGGACTAAAGAAACACTACACAAAAAGTGTCACCGTAAACAAATCTGACATACACAAAAAGACACAACAGTCCATGCGTCAGCATATATTGCAACAAAGGATCAAATATAAACTGAATCAGGATAAATCTTTAAGTTGTCTACAATACATTTCACTTTGAGTTGAACATATAAATAAACATAATATACATTTTCAAATGCACTTAAAATACAGTAAATTGTAAAATTCCAGGTCTGGTTTTTCATGAATACTATTTGTGTGAATATATATAACAAAAGTTCCCCTTCATGTAAAGAGGTTTAAAAGAGTGGGCTCTCGCTGATGAGTTTTGGCACTTTGCACAGACAGCTATGTTTCCTCTCAAGCAGTTATTAGTCGGAGGAACAGCATCGCCCTTTTCAAACGGTGACATGCTGTTGGATCAGAAGCACGCTGCTGTAGGTAAAGGCACTCAGCATGGCCTGTAGGCACCCCCCACCCATGTAACACTTTACACTCAGCAATATATTCATGTGGGTGGAGCTATAGTCCTCAGGTCCACCTTCTGTTCATTCCTTCCATGGCAAGACAAGTACTAGTGTGATCTAGGGATGAACACCTGATGAGGTGTTTTAAGCTACTGAATGCTATTTGGTTCATATTTTGGGTTGGAGGCAGTGTATCATTATTCCTTATTAGAATCAATGTGAGGAGCTCCTTATTAAACAATGTGTATCTTTAGCTGAGTGAGCCACAGAGACACACTTCTTCCTCAATGAATACAATCCAAAGGACAGCTAACCGAGAGGCTTGAGAGTCTTAAGAGTGTGCTTGTTTAGAATGGAAGAGCTGAAGGACCGTTGTTGAGGCTAGTCATCACCATAGAGCGTTATCTCACTTTATATCTCCTGAGCTTCACCCTCCTTCTAACTCACAGGGTTTAAGCAGTGACCCTTTATATTGCTTGGGAAGAGGTATACAGTTAGTTTACACACACTAACGCAATCATAAAGCCGATTATACGATGTCCGGTTCAACACTGCTCCTTACAGGTTCTACATGTAACATCCATACGTCATCACCAACTCCATTCTGAGACATTAGAATAGTTTCTGTAAACAACCGAGACCGCTGCTGGACCTTTATCCTGCAATTTAGACTTCATGTGATTGGATTTAGTGGGGAATCTGTTGGAGTGCTTTGCAGCCGCAGGAACAGAAGAGTTTCTGGTAACTGTGAGGGATGGAGAAGGTTACAGGCTGCTGGGAAAATCCTCTCCATTATGTCTGTATTCTTTGGAAAGTTAAGCTCCCAACAGGTCTTTACCCACACTGAGGTTAAGAAAATGTCTGCCTGGTTTGGTTTCAACATACCCTCACCATTGGGCAGACAATTTGATTATAACAAAAAGGTCTGATTTGATGTTAATGTTACAAAAAATACATGCTAGGAAAGAAAGTAGAAACCCTAATCATTCAACCCTTAACTCTCTGCAGATGGGTGGAACCGTGCCACAAAATATTTGCTGGTAAAAATAAGGGTTTGGCTTAATAACAATTATACGATAATACTTTCTTGGGTATTTTTGCTGATCCGGTATACCAATTACCTCCTCCTCACTCCCGTCAGGATTTAGATTTGAAACTACGGTAAGTTATTAGTACATTGCCAACAAAATAAAATCTGTGCATGTTGCATTCCTATTACTGTTTTAAGCTAGCTACCTAAAATTATGTTATATCCAATTGAATCTTTTAACATAAAACCTGTGGTCTATAAAAAAAGGTTGAGGACACCTAAAACCTTGTTGATGGTTAACTATGTCTTTTTATACCCTATTATTTTGGTGTCCACTAATGACCATAGAATATTGGAGGCCATTTTATTAACATTTGAGCTTGGAGAATATTTTCCATGTCTTATTTACAACAAAATGTAAAGTTAAACTTGTAACACAAATGTACTAAAATGCTTAGTGAACATAGGTAGACATTTAGGAAGCTTAAGACACAGTAATCATTATTAATTAGATTAGATGTTTGAGTTTTACATTTGGCCAGAAACAGAACTCCAAATGAAAGGTGTTGCTACCTATCTGCTAGATTTTGAAACCGTTTGCTAACAAGCCCTCGATAACTTTACAGCGTCTCTTATCCGTTTGAAGATTGGAACTTTGTGGGTAACCAAGCACCTCGGTCTCATGCTGTTTACGGTAATTATATTATTGTTCCACACTGAGCAGCCAATGACCTGCTTATGTATCAGCTGCCAACCGTTCTCCTCAGCAGTACTCCTCGTGCTGCGGGTCGGGCAGGTCGTTGAGGTCCAGGAAGAGGGAGGTGTTGGAGAGTTTGCGGACGTTGGGCGACAGATCCAGCAGCTCGTCGGCGTTGCTCGGCACAGAGCTGATGTACATGTCCCACACCTGCTCCGGGGAGTCCAGCTCCAGCAGCTTCTGCTTGATCTTCAGGTTCTTCTCGATGTTCCTGCGCTTGTGCTTGAACTCCAGGATGGTTTTGGTGTAGCGGTTGATGGTGGTGACGGAGGACGCCATGCAGGCTGTAAAGGAGCTCCATGCCAAACTGAGAGAAAGATACACACAGTTTGAGATCCTTTCTACTTTTTATCCATATATTTATCCATTATTTTATATTTTATTAACTACTCAAGAGGTGATAAACAATCATACAACGGGCTGAATATATGGACTTCATATCATAAGAATGTGTTAGTAGAACAGGAAGACGGAGAGAGAAGATAAAAGACAAATACTAATCAACATTACAAAAATAATATGAAAGGATCATTCAGAACCTGACAGGGAAATCTTGTTTTTGTGAAATAAAAATAAATAAGTATGTGCTATTATCTTGAAATATTAAATACTTATTCACCTTTTTTTTCATAATCAACACATACATATTGTGTGACAGGGGAACACAGCTTGTTATTATAATTAAACATACAGTACTTTCAAATTATATATCACACCTTTTTTTATGGCCTTTCTCATTAAACTAATAAATGTTGTTAATAATGTTTGTGTTTAGTCCACCACAATCCTACTGGCACAAAGAAGAGTAAAATATGACTAATAATCTCCCCTAAGACAGTTGAAACTGAACAATGAATGGATGTGATGTGAATGACTGGGGACTCACATGTAGGACCAGCTGTAGTCCCAGGTCTGAGGCTTCCAGTCCTCTGGGCCCAGGCTGACAGTCAGCTGGAAGGCTGTGGTGAACATCATGTGGGCCACCATGCCCAGCAGACCTGTAGACAGAGAGTGACCAGAGATGAGAGAGGAAATCACACTGGCCCAGTTCCAATCAGACCCCTAGCACTCTGTGACAGAATGAACTCCGTCTGTAGTCTCAATCTGAGCAGAATGAGGCTCTGCTTTTTAAGGTGGAGGGTGTAAATGGTAAACTTCGGAATGAACTTCTCTATCTACGACAGGAAAAGGAACTGGCGAAAGTTTTCCTGATTTGACACCTCTCTGACAAAAAGTATTAAAAGATAATCATAGTAAAACTCAAATAACTATTTTTTGTAAACCTCTTCTCATTTTAAATGAGCCGCTTTTGCAACAGTCCTGTACATACAGGATTGTTGTTTCCATTTGTTTCACAGAATAACATATCTGCGTTGCACCAGGTCAGGTAGAACAATAGGTGAGGTAAAGACAGATGCAGACTGCTGTGGGTATAGGGAGAGAGTGTGTAGGGTCATACTGTCCTGACACCCTACTGACCAATCACTGCACTTCTCTGCAGTCACCACTTGGTGGCAGTGTTTTATCATGTTAGACTGAGTACCTGTTGGAACAGCAAAGTAAATCTTGCTTTGAGTGGATGTTACACATGAATGCATTTGACAGTGGTAATAAAGTACATGCTCAAGTTGTATATTTAACCTTCCTGTTGTCCTTGGGTAAAATCTGACCTTTTCTCATTTGATTGTATGTCGGTATAAAGGTTTATTTTATGTTAGTGCCAGGAAAATAACATGTTTACTTGCATACGTTATTCCCAAGAAAATATTATGATCACTTTCATTAGGTTTTGGATGTTATGCATCTGTGCTCTTGTGTGGTCAATTTAGGTCAATAATTCAATATCTTTTCCTTTTTTAGCCGAGAAATAAGGGTTGATTTTGTCTAAAAGAGGTCTATTGTGTTAAGGTTGAGTGATGCAAGCAGGACCCAAATGCAGATAACACTGATAATACCTTTTTTTCAAGGAAAATAATATAATCTGGACAAACAGAACACTCCCCGGTGAACTCAGTCACCAACAAAAAACGAACCAACACTGAACACAGGAAGAGACAAGACTAAATACAGGGAGGGGTAATCACGAGACAGTCGGGCAGGGGGGGAGAAACACAAGGGCAACAGGTGAACACAATCAGACAATTAGGCACACCAGGGAAACTAACGACAGGGAGGAAAAACACAGGGAGAGGGACCAGACAATACACAAGGAGGAAAACATGACAGGGAGAACCGAACAGCAAAGGAGGGACGCATCACTAGGGCCACCAGGGTGGGTGGAGGGGGTCAGGAGGACGGGATTGAGCTGATAACCCAGGGGAACAGCGGAGGACCCGGAAGGGATCTCGGGCGGACGGCCCAGGGGCAAGGAAGAGACCATGGAGGGGATCTCGGGCGGACGGCCCGGGAGCAAGGCAGAGACCATGGAGGGGGGTCTCGGGCGGCCGGAGCCGGTGGGACAGGTGACGGCGGGACCTCCAACGGAACAAGCCATGGGATTGGCAGGACTCTCAGTGGGACCTCCAACGGAACAGGACATAGGGTTGGCAGGACCCCCGGCAGAAGAGTAGTCGGCGGGACCCCCAACGGGACAGGACATGGAGTTGGCAGGACCCCCGTTAGATGAGTAGTCGGCGGGGCCCCCAACGGGACAGGACATGGAGTTGGCAGGACCCCCAGCGGAAGAGTTGTCGGCGGGACCTCCAACGACACAAGACATAGGGTTGGCAGGACCCCCGGCAGAAGAGTTGTCGGCGGGACCTCCAACGGCACAGGACATAGGGTTGGCAGGACCCCCGGCAGAAGAGTAGTCGGCGGGACCTCCAATGGGACAGGACATAGGGTTGGCAGGATCCCCGGCAGAAGAGTAGTCGGTGGGACCCCCAACGGGACAGGACATGGAGTTGGCAGGACCCCCAGCGGAAGAGTTGTCGGCGGAATCTCCAACGGGACAAGACATAGGGTTGGCAGGACCCCCAGCGGAAGAGTTGTCGGCGGGACCTCCAACGGCACAGGACATAGGGTTGGAAGGACCCCCGGCAGAAGAGTAGTCGGCGGGGCCCCCAACGGGACAGGACATGGAGTTGGCAAGACCCCCAGCAAAACCTCCAACGGCACTTCAGTAGGGACTTGAGTAGGGTCTGGAGAGGGAACTCGAGAGGGAACTCGAGAGGGGACTCGAGAGGTGACTTGAGAGGCTACTCGAGAGGGAACTCGAGAGGGAACTTGAGAGATGACTTGAGAAGGGACTAGAGAAGTGACTAGAGAAGGGACTAAAGAAGGGACTTGGGAAGGAACTAGAGAAGGGACTGGGGAAGGGACCAGAGGAGGGACTGGAGAGGGGACTAGAGAGGGGACTAGAGAAGGGACTAGAGAATGGACTAGAGAAGGGACTTGGGAAGGGACTAGAGGAGGGACTAGAGAGGGGACTCGGGAAGGCACTAGAGGAGGGATTAGAGAGGGGTCTTGAGAAGGGACTAGAGAAAGGACTTGAATTGGGACTAGAGAGGGGACTCGAGAAGGGACTAGAGAAGGGACTTGGGAAGGGACGAGAGGAGGGACTAGGGAAGGGACTAGAGAAGGGACTTGAGTAGGGACTAGAGAAGGGACCATGGCTGCTGGGGCCGGAGCCAGGGCCGGAACCACTGCCGCTGGGGCACGGGCTGGAATCCTGGCCCTGCGTCTCCTAGAGGCCCGTTGGAGACACCGTGGACCTCTACCAGGATAGTAGTCGGATCCCAGGAAAGGGTTAGAGGCTTGAGAAAAGTTTCCAGGACTACTGGTAAAAAGTTGTAGCCACTCAGGCAACAAACTCCTGAACCAGGGCTTGCGAGCAACCTCCTGGCGTGCCTCCTTCAAAGCAGCCACTCTACCCCGTATAGATGAGGCGTCATACCACGTATAAAAAATGCAGATAACACTGAAAATACCTTTATATCAAGGATATGGATAACACGGATGATCAGAACACTCCCCGGTGAACACAGTCACAGACAAACGACGAACCAACAATGACAGACAGAAAAAACAGAACTTAAATACACACAGGACTAATCAAGGAAACAAGAGACAGGTGAGGAGGGAGGAGAAAACACAGGGGCACCAGGTGAACACAATCAAGAAAACAGGTAGGAGGGAACAGGTAGGAGGGAACACACATCTAAACAAGACAAAACTCAACACAGACAGAAAACCAAAGACAGATCTACACAAGACAAAACACAACACAGACAGATCGTGACAAGATTTGAGTGATAAACCGCAGGAAGTGCCATCAAAGCGCTATGCGGGTACAGGGGCATTACGGCCGCCGTATTACTGTCAGGGAACACACCACGCCTAGAGTATGGACTCTGAGTAATGCAGTTTACCGTAGTGGTAAGGGGGACATAATGGCGGAGCGCGCAGCGGTGCGTTCAAGGACCTCAGTAAAAAATCGTCCCTTTCTGTGTCGAGCCTCCATGGGCAGAACTTCCCTTCACAGGGAAT